CTCTCTCCATTCTCTCTCTCCATTCTCTCTCTCCATTCTCTCTCTCTCTCTCTCTCTCTCGCACTCTCGCTCTCTCGCTCTCTCTCTCCATTCTCTCTCTCCCTCTCTCTCTCCATTCTTTCTTTCTCTCTCTCTCTCTCTCTCCCTCTCTCTCCCTCTCTCTCTCCATTCTCTCTCTCTCCCTATCTATACATTGTCTCTCCTTTGTCTCTCTCTCCATTCTCTCTCTCTTTCCCTATCTCTCTCTCAATTCTCCCTCTCTTTCCCTATCTCTCTCTCAATTCTCCCTCTCTTTCCTTTCTCTCTCTCTCCAACCTCTCTCTCTCCATTCTCTCTCTCTATATCTCCCTCTCTATATCTCCATTGTGTCTCTCGCTCTCTCTCTCTCGCCATTCTCTCTCTCCTCCCTCTCTCCATTCACTCTCTCCGCTCTCTCTCTCTCTCTCGCGTTCTCTCTCTCTCTCTCGCGTTCACTCTCTCTTTCTCGCGTTCACTCTCTCTTTCTCGCGTTCACTCTCTCTCTCCCGCGTTCACTCTCTCTCTCCCGCGTTCACTCTCTCTCTCCCGCGTTCACTCTCTCTCTCCATTCTCTCTTTGTCCATTCTCTCTCTCTCTCTCGCCATTCTCTCTCTCCTCCCTCTCTCCGTTCACTCTCTCTCACTCTCTCGCGTTCACTCTCTCTCTCCATTCTCTCTCTCCAATCTCTCTCTCTCCAATCTCTCTCTCTCCAATCTCTCTCTCTCCAATCTCTCTCTCGCCATTCTCTCTCTCGCCATTCTCTCTCTCGCCATTCTCTCTCTCGCCATTCTCTCTTTGTCCATTCTCTCTCTCTCTCGCCATTCTCTCTCTATTCTCTCTCTCCCTCTCTCTCTCTGTTCACTCTCTCTCTCTGTCTCTCCATTGTCTCTCCCTTGTCTCTCTCTCCATTCTCTCTCTCTTTCCCTATCTGTCTCTCTCTCTCTCTCCCTCTCTTTCCTTTCTCTCTCTTTCCTTTCTCTCTCTCTCCACCCTCTCTCTCTCCAACCTCTCTCTCTCCAACCTCTCTCTCTCCATATCTCCATTGTCTCTCT